CAGGTTCTTCTTAAGCATTCACAATGTCACACTTTTCCTGGTTCTTCTAAAAAGATCCTCACTGCTTTAGGGAAATAATCATGTCAATGATTTCTGCCAAAACCTATGCTGGAAATATGAAAAACAAAGAAAAACAAACTACAAAATAAAATAAAAAGCTCTATGATATCCCAAAACCACTTCAAAATAAGCCAAAGTACATCTTCATTGCCATTTAATTTCTACAAATCATGTTTAAAGGTGTATGAGTTTTGAAGAGAATCACAAATGTCATCTTGAGTAGAAGTACTGTACCATCTTCCAATTGCGTTTATGGCCATTAGCTCATTATCAATAAGTTCAATATCTGCTGCTTCTCCACTTGTATTTTCCTGGATTACTGTGTGTTTTATCCATTTTTCAGTGGCCTGAGGTTATTTTCCTTTAGTATAACAAGAAAATCCTCGGCCTGTTCTTTTTCAGCTATGCTACCTGCTGCCAGACCCAGTTCTGCACATCTGGCAAACTACACTGTCTCTATATGATTCACCTTCTCATACTTTGGAATATATTTATGGGGGGGGGCAAAAGAGCACACCCTGCTACCATAAGTTTTAACACATACCTGATGCACACATAACCTGTCATTTTGTCTACCTATAGGGTACCAACAAACTGCTTCTGCAAGGGTGCAAAGTGCCAGTGCCGAGATGTGCAATGCCCCCCCCCCCCCCAATTTCTGCTCAGGACTACACTAGCTGGATTTCTCCGAGTTTTAAATGCATTTGGAATCAACTTTAGATTTTCAAAACTTCCTGCAAATAAGACTTTATAGAGTTTGTTTCTTCTATTCAGAAAGCAGGGAGAGTCACAGTCCAAACATTTGTATCTTCTTCTTTATCCTCAAATGCGTGCAGGTCTTTTTTCTCCCAGAAGCAAATACGCTACTTCAGAGCCCGAAAGCCAACCAAAGAATAAAAGCAAAAGCTAGCATCTTAACTCAATTTCTTTATCCACAAAAAAATGCTACTTTCTGATGTGATTATGGTTTCTGATGCCTAAAGAAGGTAGAGTCCCATCTCCTTCAAACTCACGTTCACCGGAAGTGAAAGAGATACCTTTGAAAGCATAGTGGTCTGAAACAACTCGCTATGCCGCAGCCAGATGCCGGAATATCTTCATAATGAGTGCAAAAATGAGAAAAGCCAAACAAAAAAAACTAAATAAATCTAGATTAAATAACAACATGCGGAGAAGACGGCTCTCAAAAGGGAAGCGAGGCAGAAAAATAAAATGATAACACTTTCCTTGACGGGGCACAAATAATATTAGTTTTATACAATTCTGTACTAATCAACCACAAACTTAGTCTTAGTTACATATTGATCTCCTGTTAATTCATCGTTCACATTTTATCTCAAGCAGTTACTATAGTTGTTACTATATCTGTTAATTCTGAAAACCTTTTTCAACTACTGAAGGAGCTACTGAATGAACGTCATGAATAACACACGTGAAATACTGATCTCATGTTTGTTCATCATCAATGAATCATGATGCATCTTTTATCTCAAGTAGCAACTACATTTGTTCATGTTTCATAATTTGTACTTCAATAGTCATTAATAAGTATTTGTGCCCCGTCAAGTAACGTGTTACCCCGTGACATTATATAGATGCAAATTCTGCGGCAGGCTAGAGGCAGCACTCCCAGACACACAGCTGTGACATTGCAGCACTCTGCTTAATTACTTTATTAAAAAAGCAGAAAAAATGGGTCTGACAAAAAAACAAACAAACAAACAATCGCTTAGCAAAAACATAAGACAATCGCGTGGCCAGTTTGGACATTACTGTCCTCTACTCGTGTATGTCAAACAGGGCCCTTTTTTTTGATGCTGTTTATCGTGCTTGTAGATCACGCCTCTTCAGAACCGTCACAATCGGTCAGGCCAGCTGTACACAGGAAATAACCACCAAGCGATACAGAAAAAAAAGAACAGCAATATTTTATTTATAACCTTATTTTTGTGTATGAACTACAAACTCTGGTTTCTATAATCGATCTTCATCTTTTTTTAAAGGTCATGAAAGTGTGTTTACATGAAAATCAGTTTCCCCATTCTTTCACAGCGTTTTTCTTTTTTTTCCATTTTTAGAACAGGTTGGCACATGTAAAATCAAAATTTAAAAATGTTTTTGTTTGTATTTTTAAAATTTTATTTTCAAAATGTATTTTATATAAATCTACCACTAGAACAGCATTCCCTCTCGAAAAAAGAGAAAAAAAAAAAGAAAAAAAAAACACCTTCCCGCCCATACCCACCCAACACCTGGGTCGTTTACAGAATGAGACAAAAAAGACTAAAATTTCATCACTAGAATTCACCATACAAATCCCAGAATCAATTATCAAACACAAAAGGGAAACGATGGTCGCATTCTCGTGTTTCTGGGCCGCCCAGATCAGAGGCAGATTATTTCCCCCTTGCCGTCATGACAAACACACCGACAGAACACAGAAATCGAGAACAACAGGGGAATCAATGGTTTACTACTGTGTTCAACTCCGTGTAAGAAAGCCACCTCTGTCCTGTCCTCAGGGAGGGACGTCGAGACGGGGGCCTCGGAGAGCAGGGGATGAGCTGCGGATGAGCAGTGGGCAGTGAGGAGCCCACTTCCATGATGGAGTTATGAACCTGAGAAGGTTGTGAGAAGAGTGCTGGTGCATCTTGGGGGCTTCTTATAAGAAATGTGGCGTCTGAAATGTGAGTAAGAACCATCAGAAGCAACACCCCGCTTGAGATTTGTGATTCTGAGGTCACGCGAAATGTATCTAACAGCAACATCAACACACAAGGAGAGAAGGACGGGGTGGGGGCGTGCTGCTCGTATGCAAGTTCTGATAAAGAGAGATGGCTGCTTGTAAACCACAGTGTGTGGTCTTGGTGCTCTGAACTCAAGACAAAAGCCAAGGAAGCAAGGATTTGAAGATTAAAAATATGATGCCGACCACGTGGGCTGTGCCACGCCACTGTCCTCCAACATCTGGGCTGAGTGTCAGTCACTCCCCCCCAGCTCCGATTCTGATTTCTCTTTATCTCCACAAACACTGAGAAGATTATGAAATGAGGGATGCCATAACAACTAATAAATATGGTAATGAAAAATCCACCAGATTCTTGTCACGCCCCAATAATACATAATGAATCACACACCCCAGATTTGGATTTATACTCTTGGTTTAAACATGTCATACTTAATTACCACATTGAAGTTTTTTTTTTCCTGGTCTGCCCTCTCACAAAATGTACTGCAGTTTGTAAAACAAAAGAAAAGTTGTAAACATCTATGTAAATATAATTAGTTGGGCCAAATGACTGCCGTGAAAAGACTGCATGCTGTATTGTGAAATGGTGTATGCCGCCTTGTATCTTTTAATATTTAATTCTGGTCTGTTTTAGCATCAGGCCAGTAAGAGCTCTCGGCTGCGGTTATTCGGCTCAAGGTCATTGGTCTCCATGGCAACTGAAGCAGGCTATTTTGCTAAATTATTTATTTATTGGAATTGCCGCCATGCTTTTCTTTCCATTCCATGTGATTAAGACATGGACTAAATGCGCTGAATGCCAGTGAATCGGATGTGTGACCTCTTCAGATGATAAAATGCAATAATGGCCAGCTATTGCTGTAATCGCAGACAGACACCTGTGATATCTTACAGGCCGTTGAGGAGATCACTCCTAGATGTGCTGCTGGCTTTTGGATTTTCCCAGCATCCCTTACCATGGGATGCTGGGATGACCATGCCCAAAGCCCGGCTCTGAGACACACTGATTCTGGTGGGGGCTCATACATTGGGGGCTCATTCGGCGATGGTGCATTTGGGGTTGCCTAGCAAACGCCCTTCCATCGCATTTTGGGCATCCTTTGTATCAGTGACAGCGAGTGTTAATTTGGGCATCATCCTGATTGCTGCAAGCAGGCCAAGGTTGGAGAGCCAGTCCCTCCAATTGGGGGCTGACTCCTTGGGGGGAGTCGGGATCACACCCCTTTTGCCAGGAGACCCAACTCCGTTTGGTACCAGGGTTGACAGGCAGGAGCGTCAGCACCAGCGCAGGTGTGATCTACAGAGGGACAGGCGGGCAGGACGGAGCGGAGAAGGAGTTCATTAACATGCCGGAGTGTGAAACTAGGGACCTCGAGAGGCTGCACCTTTCCCCACACAGATAAGAGAAAAAAAGCAAATGACAATTAAACCTTCCAGGCTGCAGGACATTGGCAAACCAAACCATGATTTCTAACTAAGAGGGTAACGCATGTAACATCCAAAAGGAGCAAAAAAAGTAGATAAAAAAAAAAAATCCTGGAAATAAACAGCTGCGTAATTTACTTTATTTGCTCTGTAGGTAGATGTGCCCTCCGCCAGCCCCATAACAGTCAGGCTTGGCATCCACCTTATTCTGCCTTCAGATGCAGCCCGGAGCCCCGCATGCTTTTATTAAGACACCCCGACATGCTCGGCCTCCGATAATGACCAGGCTGTAAATCTGTACGTGTCACGGTAAATTTTAACAAGAGGATTGTTTGGGGTGGGGTGGGGAAGGCTCCAGTCAAATCCCTGTTTTTCTTGAAACCAGAAACGAAGAGTTTTCTACACTCCGTCCGGTGTGTGTTGGGTGAACAAAGACCCTCTAACTGGCCTCAGTTTGTGCGCTGACTCTCAAAACCCGTGAGATTTACACAGAGTTTGCAAGCACATTCATCTTAGTAAACCATTCTTCCACAACAGAAAAAAATAGAACAGAAAAACAAATAAATGTGATATAAATGCTGAAAGAAAATATTTTTTTTTGCAGAATACATGATGCTTTTTCTTGATTTAACCACAATAGATTTCTTTAAATAAATAACCTTTGCTTTGTAAAGACACTTTTTGAAACAGCAGACATACCCTATTTCTCCAATAGCATCGATAAATGTTACCATCTGCTGCTTTGCTGCATGTCCCTCTGTCTTTTTTNTAAAGACACTTTTTGAAACAGCAGACATACCCTATTTCTCCAATAGCATCGATAAATGTTACCATCTGCTGCTTTGCTGCATGTCCCTCTGTCTTTTTTACTCTTCATTTTTATTAATAATGTTTTATAATATTTCTGTAATTATGAAACAGAGTCAAATTTGCGTCTCTTGCACATTGTCTTTTGAGCTAGCCCGGATTAGCAGTGGTTCATGCCCGGAGCTGTGCATGGAGTTGATGGTGGAGGCGTGGTTGTATGTCTTGTAAGAGTTGTAGTGGTTGAGGTGCTCATGTTCCAGGGGGGGCAGTGTCAATTGGCCCTCCATGGTGGAGCCTCCCGCCAGCTCCTCGCCTACGGTAATGATCTCCATGGCCCGCGAGGGCACGTGCTGGTTCTGCTGGTGGTGCTGCTTCCGCATCTTGTAGAATATGATAAGCATGACGGCAGCCATCAGGGTGATGGCCACAAAGCAGCCAATGATGATCTTGGTAGTCTTCATCACCTCGTCTAGCCCATTGAGCGAGCCTTCTCCCATCTCTGTAAAGGGGATGGCCTTCTCTGGTGTCCTAGTGGAGGCAGGGGTGCGGGCTGTGGTGGTCGTGGTCGAAGGGGAGGGCTCCCAACCGCCGGATGAAGGGGTGGGCCCCACACTCTGCTGCACGGGGGTCCTGCCCTCGTCGTGCGAGGGCTCAATTGTCTCCACGGTGACCGTGGTGAAATAGCTGAAGCTGCTGTTCTCGGTCGAGGACACATTGAGGGTCGCCGAGGCCGTGGTGTTTCCTGCCGAGTTGCTCACCATGCACGTGTAGGTGCCCGTGTCCTGCACCGTCACGTTGGTGAAGTTCAGCGTCCCGTCGTTGAGCACAGAGATGCGTACCTTGTACGCCCCATGTGTCATTATGGAGCCGTTGGGCGTGATCCAGCTGACCGAGGTCAAAGAGTTGGCTCGGCACTTGAGCTCAGCGGCCATGCCTTCAGTCACGTTGAGGTCCGTGGGCGGCTCCACGATAACAGGGGCGTAACAGTTGAAGTAGTTCTGGTCAAGCTCCCCAATGTAGCGTCCTTTGTGGCTGGTGGGGGAGCTGCAGCGGGCGCAGCAGCTGGTGTTGGCGGGCACCATCTCCTTCAACCACCAGCTGAGCCAAAGGATGTCACAGTTGCAATTCCAGGGGTTGTGGTGCAGATGTACCCGCTCCAGGTGGTGCAGGGGGGTGAAGAGGTCATGGGGCAGCAAGGTCAGGTTGTTGTGGGCCAGATTGAGCTCCACTAGGGACTGTAAGTCATCGAAGGAATTCCTCTCTATGGTCTGGATCTGAGCGTGCATCATCCACAACTTCTGCAGGTGTATGAGACCCTTGAAAGACCCGGGCCGGATAACTGAGAGCTGGTTCCCTGACATCTCTAGCTCATCCAACCTGACCAGAGGGATGAGGTTAGGGATCTCCTTCAGGTTGCACATGCCCAGGTTCAGGTAGCGCAGGTTGCTCAGGCCCTCAAAGGCACCCTCGGACACATAGGAGAGCCGCTTCAGCTCACCCAGGTCGAGGCGGCGGAGGGACGGCACGCGGTTGAAGGCGTATGAGGGGATGCTCTCGATGGGGTTGTTCCTCAGCCAGAGCTCCTTCAGCTTGGAGAGGTACTCGAAAGCCCCGTTGGGGATGGTGGTAAGCCGGTTGTCAAAGAGCTCCAGTGTGTTGAGGCTGGCCAGCCCATTGAAGGCACCGATCTCGATGCTGCGTATGTGGTTCTTGCTCAGCTGCAGGATCTCGAGGTGGCGGAGGTGCTTGAAGCTGTCCACCTTGATGACCTGGATCTGGTTCTCCTGCAGGTTCAGGTAGCGCGTGTTGGTGGAGATGCCGTCGGGCACATCACGCAGGCCCCGTCGCGTGCAGATGACCTTGCTGAACTGGTTGCTGCAGGAGCACACGGACGGGCAAGTCTGAGCTCGCGCCAGGCCTGCCACCACCAAAAGCTGGAGCGCCAGCAGCAGAACGAACAAAGGGTCAGACAGGGCCCTGTTCCACCTAGGACCTCTCATCGTCTCCTGCTGTGGGTAGGACGTCATCTTGTTCAACATTCATAATTCGTTAGCTGGTGGTCCTCTCTTTGGGAATCTTGGGTTGTGAGGCCTGGAGACGAGAGAAGTGAAGAGAGGAAGAAATGAGCGATGAATAGAAGAGAAAGGCATGGTAACATGTCACTTAATATAACCTTCATGCATTTTAACTGTACTTCTGCCAATAAGAAAATAACTAATACGTAATCACAGATATATGCATGCCTGTGTTACAGATTTTCAACAGGGTATATTGTATGTTTCTATTATAGAACAGGCCCTCTGAAAGATACCAGTAAACAGTTAGTAACTATTTGTAGTTATAGTGATTTCATTATACATATATTGCCTTTTAAGAATGTACATTTGTATATTTGTAAAAGTATATTTGTATTAATTTGTCTGGCAGTTCAATCTTCCAATCAGAGATGAAACGTTGAGTCCTCACAATGAATTTTGTCAAATAAAGTAACAGCGCAGAAAAGCAATTTAGTTTTTGCCTAAAAATAATTAAAAACCTAACTGAAAATGACTGGAGCGAGTGAGCTTTAGTTGAAAAAGAAAGCTTTGCAATGCATCCCCTTTACTGGGAGTTTAAAATAAAACTTTGAAATGAGCCTGAGATTATTTGGGTGAATGCATGAATGAACATGAAGTATTCATGTTGTCACACAACCAGCTGTCAGGCTCTGCATTTCCACAGGAGCAGAATCTGAGTGGAAAGGTCAAGCGATGAATACATGAATGTATAAGCACATCCAGAATGCGTCTTGCATGTATTTTTTCGTCCGGGGGCCCTGGCAGGGTTCTCTTCATGGGCACTGAAGTGAAATACGTGGCAGACTCGGTGTTTAATCACACCTCACCTATCTGCGTACCTGGTCACCGCGACTGGCAGAGATGCATCTGTAACTGTCACATGCCATGAAGACGGCAAAGCTGCAGGCAAGCGGAATAACAGCAACGTGCCGAGGCAAACGGTTTGCGGCTGCGACCTTGGGAACGTGTTTTATACGTGTTTTTATATCGGAGCAGGCCGCGTGTTACCGGCACTCTCTCCATCTCCACCACATAAAACAAAATCACAATATACAGTCTCAACTTTCCTCCTCTATATCTCCAGGGGGAGGGAACGGATGGGGGGATTGGGGAGGGGGGGGGGGGGGGGGGGGGGGGGGGGGGGGGGGGGGGGGCAGCTGGGGATGTACCATGTGATTGATTTTTCTAGCCACAGTAACATAAATAACAGGAAGCTCACCACCTACTGGTACTTCAATCAAGCAAACAAATCTGGAAAGTTCTGATTACGGCTCACAGTAGAAGCTGAACGGTGTATATGTGACGAGACTAAAAATAGAGCAGCCCGACAGGGGATAAGTGCCCGTCTCACAGAACATGGATGCGTGTGTGCGCCATATTGCTGTAAGTCACACCAGTCACACACAGCTACAGGCGTATAGCAATGACACGCTTCCTGTGGTCAGCCTTCCACTGACCCCAGTGAAGAGAAAAAAAAAGAAAGATCATGGACTGCAGGCTCGCCACCACGCCGCAAAGAGCGCAGAGCTTGAGTGCTGATATTGTGCAGGAACATCCCATCGCCGGAGGAAAGGAGGGTTATTGCTGTAGCCAAAGATTAATTGGCTGATTAACAAAACCACTAATACTTTAATTGCAAAACCTGATTCTGAAACAAAGTGGCCCCTAGGAAGAATAGGGTAGTTTGGCCCAGGAGACCACGAGAAATGTGACAAGGATCATGAGTGCAATACTGAAAATGACATTACATCTCGTTTCTCTTAATTACCGGACGTAAAGACTTGTGCAAAGTCAATGAGTATGGTCAGAGCCCGGCAAATGGCTCATCCGTCCATTCACTTCTTCAGAAAGAATATGAGAGATTACGGATTAAAAGCGGCAACGTCAAATAAATGGTTTTAGCGCTTTCGATGGTTTTCAGGTCCTCTTCTCAACCACTTTCATTGTGTTGCCTTTTCAGAAAACTTAAGAAGGTTAAAAGCAGCAACACATCCGTGAAGAAGCACAAATCATTTGTATATTAAACAATTGTTGCTAAAATGAAACAGATGCACAGAAGTGCTTGTTTTCCATGATAACGGGAAGAGTGCGACTGATATGGAGAAAAAGAGAGAATTAGATGAAAAGGTGATAAACAAAACTGGATTAAAACCGAATGGATTTTTAACACTCGGCCGGCTGGAGATGATGAATGATGATGAATTGGCACGAGCCCCGTCTCTCTCTGGCTGGTGGCAAAGCAGGCGGGATCTACTCAGCCACAAAGAAGCAGAGAAAAACCGGGAGAGGAGATTTGTGAGACTCTTGTTGTTCTTCTTTCACGTGGAGCGGAAGCCAATCACATTCCGGTGAAACAAGTATGCATTTCATTGGGCAGCACGGTGACACGATCCTTTACGACGGGCTGGTGCCCCTGAGAAGCAAGCAAGGCAGCAAACACCCACAGCAGATCAGAAACCGGGCAGCTGCAGCCAAAATCCCCATAATCCATTTCTTCCCCACACAACAAGGGGCATCCATTTGGTTCCAGCACATCCCTGGGATTATTTCACCATAGTGTTCATGCGAGGTTTGTGCAAAGAGGTGACAGCGGGGTAGGGTGTCGACACAGGGGCTTGGGGAGGGAAAGTTTGGCAACTGCTCAGCTTGGCACGGCTCTAGAGCTAAAAGCAGGTCCCACGAGAAGTCAGCATCTACGTCAGGAGCTGAGCTGGAGATCCCCTGACAGCCAGCACAAGCGAGGCTCGTTTAACTCAAAACTTCATCATGTGTCCTCGATTAGTGCTATTTATGTATGAGTTATTATTTTACAACATATGATGCAATTATTATTTATTTTCAAAGTAAACGTTGTGTACCAATCTTATTATACAATTACAAGTTTAGTTTAACCATATTGTGTTCATCAGTGGGATTCGTTTACTCTTGAACTAAGACGGCATTTTTTGGAAGGGGGAAGAGACAGTCCCTCCGTTAGGCAGGCTTGTCAATGACATGGTTTGCTTTCATCTTTTGATAATCATTTGCAATTTGTTGATCCGTTGTGGGGCTTTCTGCCCTGGTTAGTGCGATGGATGCATAAAGATTAGCTGAGAGAAAGTTTGTGGAAAAATTAGCATGTTTGTGTGCTTGGCAGAGAGCTCATGGATGTTCTGACAGTTGGGTGCATCGCTCTGATTAATAGTGATGTGTGTCCCTCACAAACATGGCTTCTGGAAAAAAAATTATTCTCAAATTATGTTAATTATAGAATGAATACGAGTGATGTTAATTAATTCAACAGAACCTTCTGGAAGCTGCAGTTACAATATGTTATGTGTATCAACATGCTTAGATAACAAGATGTCATTAGAATTGCCCTGGATCACCATTAGGCAACCAGGAAAGACTCCAAATTTTCCTCAAAATTGCATTTCACCAATCAGGACGGCAAGATATCACCGACCCAATGTCTCAAAAAGAGACCAGGAAGCAAAATCCAATAGAGTTATAACAGTGGAAATGGATAATAGATATTTTCTGGCAAAAAGTTCCATTAATCACATTTTTTCCTCATAATCTGATTTATGCAGAAGGTGGAAGGTGGGATGGTTGCAATTCAAGACTCCTTCAGGAGCAGATCAGGCAGCCAGAGGGTGTTGGTGGACGGACTGGCCTGACCCTAATAAGAGCCAGGAAAGCACACTGCGCTCTGCGATTGGGGCCGACGTAAGCAAACGGATGGTCTGTCAGATGAACACCTGGAGGCGAGACCATGAAGAAATAAACCCAGGGCGCTATGGAAAGCAGAAGGCTTGTCTTCTCGTGATGTCATGAATAAAAGTCCTTTGGGGTGGAAAAGGCACACAATGTGAACAGATCGACTGGAAAGAGGTCTCAGTGCAGGCAACAAGGCTGGAGAGTTAGTGCTCATAGTCTGGGAGAAACACCCACACCTGCTTACAACATGGGGGGGGGGGGGGGGTGTGTCCCTTTATGCTGCATCAGAACCATAATGCTCTTTTGGGTGTAGACAGCCAGCCATTGTGAAGGTGAAGTTTAGGTCCTAAGTTTGCTTGCAGGCAAATGATGAAAAACTGCGTCGCGATGCACTTTTTGCTGTGCCAGAGTCTGGGGCAGCAGAGACCGCGCAACCTGAGGGCCTTGCAGAGATACTATCCTGAGATGTAAAGCTTAGGTTCCGGTCCATGGCCACTGTTATCATGTGAAGGGGGGGGGGGGGGACAGCACTGATACGCATTCCCATATCAGCCGCCGGCATCGCTGCCTCTGCATGGAGTCTGCAGCTGCTTGCTGGTCTGCAAGGGAGCGTTTGCGCCACACTGCGTTGAGTAGGGGTGGCCGTTTTGCAGCAGCATGCGGCGTTTGATGTGCCATGATGGCAGGGGAATGGAGGAAGATGTCCGGGTGCAAGCGAGGCTCGGCGGAAACGCGCTGCGCTGCTTCACCCGCAGGACGGCCGAGCGGTCGCCTTGGGTTCGAATTACAGTTGCGAGCCGGATGCGGTCAATATGTCAATACAACGGGAGCAACCCGTGGCTAACAGCAGGGCTCAGTCAAGTCCCAGGAGATGATGTGCTTGTCAGTCAAGTTTTGGTTCGGCAGAAAGTCCTTTATAATATTAAGCACATCTTACAGCACAGAAAATCTGCGGTTAGAAAAAACCATCTTCTAAGTGGCATCATAGAGTCATCCTACCGTACAGTTAATTTATAGGCTGCTATCAAAAAAAAAACTGGAGTAATTGAAGGACAAAAGAAACTAACAGTCATTCATCTACCTTCCAGCAGAGACAACAAAATCTGAAAGCCTTCCAGTACCATTGTTTTCCTCGGCAGGTGGCGGGAGCTCGCAAATTACACTGTTACCGTGCAGCGATTCTGCTCGTCACAGTGCTTTTGTGTGGTTGTTGTTTTTGAAAAATAAAGTATCACTGCTCAAGATGGTTGGGTGCCTTGAAACTGACACCAGCAGAGTGTTCACCAAAACCTAAGGCCACTTCCAAAAGCCCCTGAAGTGCTCTAGTCAAGTGCT